GGTTACACAGGAAGGCGTCCAGGCGGGTTTTGAATGTCTGCAGAGAAGGAGACTCCACAACCTCTCTGGGCAGCCTGGGCCAGGGCTCTGTCACCCTCACTGAGAAGAAGTTTCTTCTCCAATTTCAGTGGAACCTCCTGTGTTCCAGTTTGTGTCCGTTACCCCTTGTCCTATCATTGTTTGTCACCGAGAAGAGCCTGGCTCCATCCTCGTGACACTCACCCTTGAAATATTTCTAAACATGAATGAGGTCTCCCCTCAGTCTCCTCTTCTGCAAACTAATTTGTGTTTTTCCCTTTATAAATAAGTCAGAATTGGGGGTAAGTATCTGGAAATCTTGTATATCCAGACTGAGTCGTGTCTAAGCCACAAATTCTCCTTTTTTAACTCACCCACTTTTTATTGCAAGTTTTCTGTCTTTAACAAGAGTTTTTAGTCAGGACCTGGAGTGTGTGAAATCCAGTATCAATTTGATAAATTAAAATTTACTCTCCACTGCCCAAATTGCTCCCTTTCCTTGAGCTTTGTTTTGTGGCAGAACTGAAATGTTTGCTCCTGGCGCTGTTGAAATGCTTAATTCCGGTTGGAAAAGTGCTTTGAGGGGCGAAAAGAAACATTTCCTGCAAGTACGAAGCGTTTTGCTTCGTTCTGCTCTTGCCAGCCCTTGGGCTCTCAGGGTTTCGTTCATAATCGGCTTCCGACCGATGCCGTTATCAGCGTAACCAGAGGAAAGAATCGTTTGTTAATGGGTAGACGTATTTTTAGGTTAAAACAGCTCCTGAACTTTCAGGGGCAGCTTCACAGCTAACACAACAGTGATCTGTTTTGCTTTACCCATTTAGTGTCCTAGGTGTTAGACATCCAGTTTGATTTGAAGAGAGTTAAAGAGATTTTTGGGTACCTGCTGCTGTTCACCGAGGGGCACTTCAGTTTGAGATCAGCACCTTTTCGTTGTGACTGGAGATGCCTGTAAGGAAAGGACGTGATTTTAAGCTTTGTGGTTATGGCAAAAATACAAGCGAAAACTGCCAGATGTTTACCCGGTCTCTTTAAAATTCGTGTGGTTTTTTGGCAACTGCAATTGTGTTTTGAATACCTGCTTTGGTACAGCACAGCTGCGGGTTTTTTTGTGTTGTTAGGAATTCAGTTTGTTTGATAGTAAGCCCTGAAATGGGAATTTTAATACTTCTGCTCTGACTCATTTCATTGACCTTCTGGTCTTTGAAATAGGCTTCAAGATTTTCCTTAGTTGTCATTTACTCTTGAAAAACTCATGGGTCTGTATCAGAAGTTACCTTTCCTGTACTCTTTCGTATCCAAATAAGGAGGAATTTAAAATGTTGCTGCTTTGAGGTTCACAGAATCACAGAATGGCTCGGTTGGAAAAGCCCTCTGAGATCATCACGTCCAACCGCTCCTGTCTACCCCCTAAACCATATCCCTAAGTACCTCATCTACCTGCTCTTTAAACACATCCAGGGATGGTGACTCCACCACCTCCCTGGGCAGCCTGTGCCAGCTTCTGACGACCCTCTCAGGAAAGAACTTCCTCCTTCTCTCTAACCTGAACCTCCCTTGGCACAGCTTGGTGCCGTTTCCCCTTGTTCTCTCCCCCATCACCTGGGAGAAGAGCCCAGCACCCACCTCTCTACAAGCTCCCTTGAGGTAGCTGAGGTTGCTGCATTTGCTCTCGAGCTGTTGTGGAGGAAGGCTCCCCTAAACTGCAGAATAAATGGCCCTTTCCTTGCTTTTCAGACCGCTGCCCAGTTCTGTTTGCCTGGCACTGACGCATTGGCTCTTGTGCATTTCCAGCCTTTATAACTTGTATCTTTTTAACCGCCTAGCAGAATTCCTGGGGTTCGCAGGGCTAATATCTCCCCAGTGCCTGTCAATGGGAACCGTCAGCTGTAATTGCCCAGAAATGGCCTTTTTCACAGCATTTGCTGTGCGTATCCACCTGGGTGCCGAGCAGTTATGTTTGAGTTGGTGGCCGATGTTCCAGCCTGGCAGTTTTCGCTCTTCCCGCTGCGCTTCAGTTACTTTTTAGGCTGACTCTGAGGGTTTTTATTGCACGAGTACGAAAAGGCTTTGCCACAGCAGAGCGAGGCGGGCAGCGGTTACCAGAGCCACTTGCTGCATTATTTATTTCACTAAAAAGTGAAATCTGACCTGGCCTTCCTGGCCTGCCAGGAGGTAATGGCATTCGGCTTCTGCTTTTTAACTGTGTAAAAAAAGAAAGGAAAGTTCAGATGATCTTGTTCAGGTTATTCCTTTACTCAGAGGAAGTCGTTCGTTAGGTCTGGAGCTGGTAGAACAGCGTTTGTTGTGTTCCTGACAGGTCCTAACGGAGAGGAGGAGTTTGTGTGTGGACCATTAACCAAACCCCCACAATCCAGTGGGAGCATACGCTTTGATTTACGTGCACCGATCTATTTCACAAGTTCTTGGACAATTTGTGTTATCCAAACGCTTTATTTTCACAAGGATGGGGAGGGCTCTGGAGAACAAGCCTGATGAGGAGCGGCTGAGGGAACTGGGCTTGTTTAGCCTGGAGAAGAGAAGGCTGAGGGGAGACCTCAGCACCACCTACAACTGCCTCAAGGGAGCTTGTGGAGAGGTGGGTGCTGGGCTCTTCTCCCAGGTGATGGGGGATAGAACAAGGGGAAACGGCACCAAGCTGTGCCAAGGGAGGTTCAGGTCAGAGATAAGGAGGAAGTTCTTTCCTGAGAGGGTCGTCAGAAGCTGGCACAGGCTGCCCAGGGAGGTGGTGGAGTCACCATCCCTGGATGTGTTTAAAGAGCGGGTAGATGAGGTACTTAGGGATATGGTTTAGGGGGTAGACAGGAGCGGTTGGACGTGATGATCTCAGAGGGCTTTTCCAACCGAGCGATTCTGTGATTCTGTGATTTCATAAAATAGCAGCATTTGTTCAGGCAGCCGTGTGGAAACATCCATCTTCCTTCTGGTCTGAGCTTACTGCGTCCAATTCCTGTTTTCACGTCACTCCGGTACTGAAATCCACAGTTGTTCCCTTTCCTCTCACAAATGCTCCAAAGGGATATTCCGCTTCGGAAATGGCAGCTTAGAGCATTTTCTAATTGCTTTCAAAGCCGCTGAGTTATGGGAGCATATTAAGCAAGTGGCACTTAAAAGCTGGTGCTGTCTTACGTAAAAGTATTAGTCCAAATATTTTGATATGTGTGCTTTTCGGCGCAGCCAGTTTGATGGCTGATTTTAGGCCCTGTGGTAAACAAGAATGCTAATGGGGCTGTTGGAAGCCCCTTTGAAAGGGCTCGCGGTTCTGTCTGTGCTCTGGGTGACGTTCAGCTTTGATTAAATGCTGTAATAAAGCCTGCATCTGCATTATTTCCTAAAGGAAATTCGGAAGGGATCACTGAATACAACTCTGCTTTTGGTTGATCTTTTTTCCATCTCGATGTGTGTCTGCAGTGTTTCTACATGGAGTGTTTGGGGTTTTTAGCTGGGGTTCATTTCAGGAATTAAGAGATGCTGCCAGTGACAAGATGCGAGGCAGAAGGTACAGAGGTGCAGGTCATGGAGTCATAGAACCCCAGGTTGGAAGGCACCACAAGGTTCATCCAGTCCAACCTCTCCAGGTAAAAGCATCGTTTACACGAGATGAGTCAGCCCCTGTCGAGCTGACTCTTCAAACGACCAACGTAGGGGAATTCACCACTTCCCCTGGAGATTGTTCAGTGTCTGACTGATCTCATGGGGAGCAAATTTCTTCTGGAGTTCAGTGGGAATCTCTCCAGAAGCAACTTGTGTCCACTGCCCCTTGTCTTTTCCATGGGACTCCTTGTGAAAAGGGAGTCTCCATCCTCTTGGTGTCACCCTTTATGTTCTGGTCCATGGTGACAAGGTCCCCCCTGAGCCTTCTCTTCCCAAGGCTGAACAGGCCCAGTTTTCTCAGCCTTTCCTCAAACGGCAGCTCTTCCAGTCCTCTGAGCATCCTCGTCCCCCTTCTCTGGACCCTTTCCAACCTGTCCACATCTTTTTTGGATAGCAGGGACCACAACTGGACACAGTTGTGTTATTGCCGCAGGATCTCAGGTCTCTACTCAATGAGTTGAATTTCCCCTCTCTGGAGCAGTTCTGCAGGTTTTGTCCATATTCCGTCTGTTAAGAATATCCGAAGCATTTCTGCCAGTAAAACCTCCAGTGTACCGAAGAAAGCTGTGATCATTGCACACTGTGGGATCTGGAAAAGACTTTGTCTGAAAGCTTGTCCTTTTCCCCCTTTAAATCAGTAGATCAGATCAAAGATCACTCCCTCCCTCGCCCTCTTTTTCCAAACCTGTTCCTCACATCCTTAGCCCACCGCGCTGCAGCTGGGTTGTAAATGACTTTCCTCTAATAAAAGTCAGTGAGGATCACCCAGACCTGCAGGGAGCAGAGGCCTTGACTTAATTCAAAGTTATCAGTGCTGTCTGAAGGCTCAAACACGAACCATTTGCTTTTCGGATCCTGTTTTGAAGGTCTTGCCCTTTGGGGTTGCAGACAGGGAAAGGGGATCTTTAAGGTGTCAGCCTCAGTTTTGGAAGCGTACGCAGGGATATACAGAGTCTGCTCTGTGGGCTGCATTACAACTTCATCCACCTTGAATTTGATCAATTCAGCTGTTACTGGAATTCAAGCGTACTGGTGTGTATCGTGCCCAGGTACGTGGGGAAATAAAAGCCCTGGTTTTATTCCTTATCAGCAATATTTGGCTGTGCGAGAAGTTGGCCTCATTTCTCAAAATCAGTCCCAGCTGGCAATTTCGGGTGCTGAGAAGGCGAAGTCGTGTTGTGATTTGTGCTTTATTTAAGGCCTAGTGAGTCTGTGTTCAATGAACTGTAGTCACGTCATTGAATCTCATGTTGGTGTACGACTCCATCTCTCCTTCTCAAACTTCTGTCTCCCAGGACCTACCAACCCCACGCTGTAACGCTCGCAGCCCAGCCACTCTGTTGTCATATTCTTTCTTCCCAGGCGAACAATCAGAATAATGTTCAACATAAACCTGTTGGAGAACCTGAAGGTTTACATCAGCAGTCGACCTCCGCTTGTGGTCTTTATGATCAGCGTGAGTGCTATGGCAATAGCTTTTCTGACACTGGGTTATTTCTTCAAAATCAAGGAGATCAAGTCGCCAGAAATGACCGAGGTAGGTACCAAAAGATCCTGAGCTGAACAGGGGGAGCACTAATTTGGAAAAGATGCCCAAAGCTAACGAGGGGCTTTTTTTGTCTCCCCAAGAACAGCGTGCAGACTCTTATGGGAGACTGTCTTCATTTGTAGTTGCCTCTGATTTCGTAAGAACAGGGGCAGTTGGTGTGAATGTTTGAATAATCTGGGTTTGTTTTGAGTATGAGGCCAAAACGTCTGGCGTGGGTGGAAGATCCGTGGTATATCCAGGAGCCTTTCCTTTTCTTATTCATTTATGCCAGCTTTGTGAAATTTCTGGTCTTAATTTAGTAGCACTGCTCTGCAGTGGGGGCAACCTTGCTAGAAACCGCTCGCACCCTGAGTTAAGAGTTCACTTCCTGCGCTGATTGAAATCTTCCCATTTGTTGAAGGACTGGAACACTTTTCTTCTGAGGTTTAATGATTTGGACTTCTGTATATCTGAGAATGAAACCTTGAAGCATCTCATCAACGATACCACGACTCCAGAAAGCACCGTGACGAGCGGACAGGCGAGGTCTTCCACGCAGTCCCCACAAACCCTGGAGGACTCGGGTCCCATAAACATCTCTGTTACGATCACGTTGACGCTGGACCCGCTCCGGCCGTTTGGCGGATATTCTCGCAACGTCACGCATCTGAGTTCCACAATTTTTGGACACCAAATTGGACTCTCAGGTATGCAAGACCTCACCTTTATACATCGCAATGATAACTATATAGTCACATAAAAACTCCCCAGGTTATCATTAAAAATCCTTTGCTTAGAACGTATTCGTTGTGAGTTTATTCCTATACGGTGCCCTTCACTTGTTTGCTGGAAGAACTTTTCCCTGTGTTCAGAAGGGAAAAGAACCTACAGGTTTGCCAGGATTAGGCTTTGCAGTTTTAAATAATTAACCTAATGACAACGGAAGGTAATTTTTAAGCCAACAAAATTCCAAGCAGCAAAAGCTTGTACAGGGCCTGTCTCTGGTTCTATCTGGATACATCTTTAGGTCCTTAACTCACACTTTAAAGGCATTAATTTTAGTTTCTGAAGGAAGTCTAATGACTCTGCTGCTTCTGGGGGCAGGAGGGATTAGAAATCCTAGCAGCTGGGGTTTTGTAATTGGCTTTGAGCTTTTTTTAACATTTTTTGCTCCCATTGTTGATAGTAAAAGATGCTGGATGACTTCAAAGGCACAGATTTCAGGGTTCTGGTTGCTGCCTTATCCTAGTGATGGTTGCTCAGATACTTCTGAGACCAAAACCCAGCTTTCCTTCTCTTTCTCAAAGGCAGAGAATCCCACGAGGAGATCAATATCACCTTCACCCTGCCGGCCGCCTGGAATTCAGACGACTGCGTCCTTCATGGCCACTGCGAGCAGGTGGTGTTCACAACCTGCATGACAGTGACAGCAGCCAGCAGCGTATTTCCTGTCACAGTGTAAGAGCATTTTAAACACTCCCTCATAGGTTGGTCACCGGGGGATTAATTCACAGAATCCCAGAACGTGAGGGATTGGAAGAGACCTCCAAAGCTCATCCAGTCCAATCCCCCTGCCGGAGCAGGAACACCCAGATGAGGTTACACAGGAAGGCGTCCAGGCGGGTTTTGAATGTCTGCAGAGAAGGAGACTCCACAACCTCTCTGGGCAGCCTGGGCCAGGGCTCTGTCACCCTCACTGAGAAGAAGTTTCTTCTCCAATTTCAGTGGAACCTCCTGTGTTCCAGTTTGTGTCCGTTACCCCTTGTCCTATCATTGTTTGTCACCGAGAAGAGCCTGGCTCCATCCTCGTGACACTCACCCTTTCAATATTTATAACCATGAATGAGGTCAGCTCATTAATTCCTCAGCTTGGTTCTCTGCTGAACATGGGAATGATGTACCTGCCTGCCTTCCACCCTGCCTGAGCCTTAAGGCTTTCGCTGTCTAAAGCTTAGTTTCCTTGTGTTTCCTCTGGATTCTCTGACGCTGTTCAGTACAGCCTGGAGAGCCACCAGATGGATTCACACGTCTGTGTAAAGCCTTAGGAAAACCGGTGTATGGAGCTGTGGGGTGTTGACTTAGCGGAACAACTTGCAGTTGAATTCTAATCTTAGTACAGGAATTGTAGGGTTTTTGCACACCCTTTGGGTTAACCTTTGGTTTTTGTTGTTTTGGAAGGCCCAAAATTAAATGGCCTTGACTCCTTTCTAAACGTGAGCCTTGCTGAACGTGGAGAATGGCAGTTGGGGTGCTAATTATTTCTGTTTTTCTGCAGTCAGCCACCACATTGTGTTCCTGAGACATACAGCAATGCTACGCTGTGGTACAAGATCTTCACCACAGCGAGGGACTCCAATACAAAATACGCACAGGATTACAACCCCTTCTGGTGTTACAAAGGAGCAATCGGAAAAGTCTATCATGCTTTAAATCCCAAACTCACTGTTATAGTTCCAGATGTAAGTGCCACAGAGGTTTTCTATGTTATGTTGAATAAATGCTTAGCTCTGCTTTACTTGAATATGGTTTTGTTCGTGTCCTAAAACGGTCATATTCAGTGCTGGTTTGTTGTGCAGTGCAAGGGCTGAGGCAGAGGTGGATGTGCTTTACTCCTGGTGGGCCTGATGGTCTTCACGTAATCTCCGAGTGCCCCACAGCTTCTAGTACCTAACATTTCTATTTTGAAATAATTTGACAAAAGACACTGCCAGTCTATGGGAAGAAACCTCTAGTACAGATTTTAACACGAGGAACGTCTTGGCTCTTCATGTGCCACAATTAGGAATCACTTTCATTACTGTACCCGCTGTGGAAAGGGGAGGAAAGTTGATTCATGAAGTAATTTTGGTGCTGATGGGATAATTATTGCGTTAATATGAAATGCCAACTGTTGGTGCTTTGTCAGTAAATGGTTTTGGTTCTCTGTGCAGGATGATCGCTCTCTAATAAACCTGCATCTCATGCACACCAGTTACTTCCTTTTTGTGATGGTGATTACAATGTTCTGCTATGCAGTTATTAAAGGCAGACCGAGCAAGCTGCGGCAAAGCAATACAGAATTCTGCTCTGAAAAGGTGAGTCTGTGTAATGACAAAATATTGACTCTGATAAGAAAACATAAAGACCTCCTTTCTTTATGTAGTACAGACTGGTTCTTCTTATCTCTGGCGATGTGGATTTAATTCCCTTTCAAAGAGACACGGCTGTTTGATTGTGGACGGTACAGACGGGTGCTGCAGAGCACAGGAGTGGGCTTTGTGGATCCTCAGAGTTTGATTTCTCTCCTACAGCAGCAGATTATTGCAGTAGTAAGGGCCACAGTGCAACGCTTCTGCCGTCATTTTGATGTGATTTGCGCTGTTTTGTGTGAAGCATTGGATGGATAGCATTGAGTAGTTTTATTTATCTTTTGTCACAACAGACTGAAAACTTTGACTGAAACATGATACGGAATTCTAACGTGTAAATCAGAATTAAACGAAAACAAAGCTGTTGGAAACAGTCACTATTCAATACTGCATTGGAGAGCTGCATGTTGCTTGAAGGATTAAATAAGAATATATTTCTCTGTGAAGTAGGAAGCTAACGTTGGCACCTTTCGATCTTAATGATAACTTGTTGTATGAGCTCTTTGGGGTGGTTTGTTCTGGTTTCTGTTAGGTACAAATCACCTTCAGGCTGACTCCGGTTTCCTTTCCAAGTCCGACTTTTCAAGGTTCTTTGAAAAGGCAAGGACAGATACGCCAGCTGCGCGGAGATAAGCAATATCACTGTTACAGGATTAGGAATCTGACTTTAATTAAATGTTTTCTTTTTCTCTGGTTTAGGCTGCTTTGTCGGAAGCATAATCCATCCTCTCCTTCTACTGAGAATGACTGAGAACCGAAATCATTGCCTGCTGAGCCCAGAACGGGTCTTGACACTCTGTGAATACATTACCCTGCAATGTTGGTTTATTCCAACCAAAGACATTTCAAGTGCCTGTAATTGATTTGTACATATTTATAGAAGTATATTCAGAATAGGTCAGATGATGATGCACTTGTTCCGCATTGTAGTGCGGCCGGAAACTTTCAGTCTTTACCTGTGGACATAGCCGAATGTTTGTGTAGATATGTTTAGTGATATGGCTACATATAGTCAGAGCAAGATATTTTTGTCTAGCTGCATCTGGGCAGGTTAAGATGCCTTTGCAAGTGTCTCAAACGAACCAACAGATCTTCGGTTGTTTTTTTTTGCCCAATGATATGTACAGTGTGTTTGAAACAGTATGCACCTTTGATATAATACTGCATTTCCAAAGCCACCCATGTACTACATGAATTAAATGTGTATTTGTGTGGCCTAATACTTTCTTCCATTTGCTCCTTGCTTGCAAGAAAAGATATCAACATTTTAGATTTTTTTTTTTGGAAAAAAAAAATACATATTCACATTTTAATAGTGCTGTATTTAGGACAAACGTGCTTTTATTCATAGTAAAAAAAAAAAAAACAAGAAGTGAAGTCCCATTTTAAAATGTTTCTTATTGAAAAGTGCTAAGTTGGATGATTTTTTTTTTGTTTCCTTTGGCTTGCTGAATGCCAGAGACTCAGTCAGCACAGAGACTTCTCTGGAAAGCTTTCCACTTGGCCTCCCATCCGCAGCCCTCAGCCCGGGATTGTCCGGCTCTGCTGCAGAGCAGCTTTCTGTAAGCTCTTTTTTTTTTTTTCTAGAAGGTGAAACTTAATAAAAAGATGTATTGTATTAACAGGCTGGGGCTCACACAGCCTTGAGCGAGGGCAAATAAATCCCGTAGTCTGTTACAGAGCTTTGCTTTGGGACCTGCAGCCAGCTCTGAGGGGCGGCTGGAAACGACACCTTGAGCTTTGTCCCATTGCATTTGTCCCCTTCCCAGGGCACAAGGACATGGGGAGAACCAGGGCTGCTGGGATCAAGGTCAAAGAAACCTCAGTGAAACACACTTGTTCTCTGCGTCCACCCCTAAACCAGAGGGTTTATTCTGTGCGTTTCTCCCTTTCCCATTTTGGCTTTTGCTGTTTCTTTCTGACTTCTTCCTGAGCAGCCTCCTTAATTTTCAGGAATTCGGGTTTTCCTGCAGACATTTCCACCACCGCTTTCAAAATCTCACTGGTTGCCTTAATGCACCTTTCATCTTGTGTTTCAGTTTTCTTGTCAGGTAATGTAACTGGAGGGCTGTGTACACACACACGCTTTTTATTTCCCTTTGCCTTTTTACTCTAAATACACAAAAGAAGAAACCCAAGTCAAAAAATCTCAGTTTTGCTGGCATAAGATTCTTAGTTTATTCCCTCTAGACACTGTTGAATGGTACCCTCTGGTCTGTATGTATGGGACTTCAGCAAGGTCACGAGTCTTGGAGCGTTTAAAGCAAAACAGTCACACTTTTCTTCCAAACGTGTTTCCTTTATAGAATTTCAGTTCCTTTAATGGTGTTAACTAACGTGCGTTTTTCTCCAAGGATGGTAAGGCAAAGCTTTAGAGATGGCCTCGTTTGAAGTCTAGGGATGAAACGAAGCTTCCAATTTTCTCCTGATGCTGCTGGGGGCTAACGCTGCTTGGCTGAAACGAGCCAGGGGAGTCAAAGCAGGCATAGGCGGCTCCGAATTCACACAGACCCCAGCCCTGCGTTCATCCCGACTCCCAGAGTGGCCTGTGAGAATGGCTTGATCTGGAGAGCAAGAGGGTTGGGGTGGTGGTGGTGCAAGTTCTGGAAATACCTAGGGAACACCCAACGTAATGCAGCTCCTTTAAGAAAGCAGAGCCGAGTTTCTGTTTCTGAAACAGCCGTTTCTGTTGCAGCAAATTAAAAATTTGAACTCCAAATGTCCAGCCTGGAGTTTGGGCTGGTGGGGAAAAGAGAAGTTTTTTCTTTAAAATCTGCTTTTGTTATTTGGTAATTGGAGGAGCCTGCTTTGCAGCTCACCACCCACTGTATTGAAGTACCAAGAAATACCGAGATTGCAACCCACAAATGCAAAAGGGAAAACGTGAAAGTTGTAATTTTTGGCCTTAGTTTGTCCCTTTGCACCCCTGTATTGCAGCGGAGAGGTGAGGGTGTCCAGCGGCTTGAGACGCTGCAGTACCGAGGAGTCCTGGGTTGTTCCTAGGCACGATGTACAGAGGTTAAATGCAGCCAAACAGAAGAGTAAAAACTTTAATATCGAAGTTCAGATCATATTGATCTTTCCTTTTTTGTTTTCTTTTTCTTTTTAACTATGACTTGAATCAGTTTTGATTCTATTTGTACGTGTTTTCTTGTTCTTAGAAAGCTGCCGTTTTCTTTTGCGTTTTTCTTTGGCATTACATTAGAAAAGCTGAGCCTTGGTTTTTCGACCCTCTGCAGGTGACCGTAGGGTTAAGATGGCTTTGGTTTGGTTTGTTCTTACATTTCACTTGTCTTGTTGCATGACGGTCAATAGCTGATTTGGAAATGACATTTCTCTCCTAGATTAATTTTGTGTTTGTAAGATGTGCATATTGCTTTGCAGAATAAAAACTACAACGTTTATTCCGTTGTCTTCATTTCCGCTGCCCAGTCGCTGTGGAGGTTTCGTCGATCACCTGTGTTGTGTGGAGCGCTGGTGGAAATCAGTGGTGAAGGGCTGCAGCAGATGGGAATATCAGACTCTGTGTGTACCTGTGAGCACCTTACGTGGAGTATTTTTAATGTACAGAATCATAAAATCACTGAGGCGTGGAAAGACCTGTCGTGCTTCTCTGAAAAATAACGCTCAAAGCATCCAAACGGTGCCTGTTCAAACCTGGTGGCGAATGGGAGTGTTGGTTAACAGCAAGTCTGCGTCATGGTTTTATACTTTTTACTGGGGTGAGGGCCTCAGAACTAAGAGGAATAAAAGCAATTTTAACAGAAGAGTTTTTACAAAGCCCCTTGGTACAGCTTTAGCAAACCTGGGCAGCTCTGAATCACAGAATGGCTCGGTTGGAAAAGC